CGATATGTATACAAATGAAATGATAAATAGTGTACAAGAAATTATTAATAATAATATTAGAGATGTTAGTATATCAACTGCAGTAAAACTTACTAAAGAAAATAGTTTAAATACATATTCTATTTAATATTAAGGGAACATCGTTTTATGATATGATTGGTGGCGAATATCATAAAATGGAACAGGTTTTCCATTGCTACAATCAATAAGCATTGAAGCTAATTAGTTTGTATCTCTCTCGCGTGTGCAATGAAAACCCCAAGTGCTGTGCCCCACCAATATTCTATTATGCATGAAAATAATAAGATTAAATAACTATTTTATCTTATTATTTATATGAATATGAGTTATTCGGATTATGTTGATATAATAAATGAAGTAGAAAATATAGAACGGGTTGTCATAACTGATAATAGATGTAAAAAAATATGTTATTTTATTTTAGAATTAATTAAGTTTTTGATACAATATATTAAAAATATAAATATTAATATAAATGCCAAAAAAGAAAACCAAAAAGAATAAGATAGGTTTAAGTGTTTCTTCAACAGATGAAGATAGCGGAGAAATTGTTAAAGAAACATCAGTAATTGAGTTTTCTTGTCCGATGTGTAAAAGGGTGTTAGAGATGAAAAATGAATTAGAAATAAAAAATAATAAAACATGTAAATGTTCATGTATTCCAACAAGTTTCAAAATAAGTAAAAATGATAAGAAAATGAGTATTGATAAAACTAAAGACAGTATCAACTTAGAAACTGATGTCCATAATATAACTTTTAAATGGGGTAAGGATGCATCACTCTCGGATAATAATGAAAACGAAACACAAGAAACTGTTAAACAAATGATGAAAAATATATAATTAAATAAATAAATATCTAAATAAATATATAGTAATGTCTGAAAATGAGAATTATACTATTCATGATTTAATGAAGAAGATAACATTAATTGGTAAAAATATCAAAAACTTAAATGATATGATTAAATCCATTGATGAAAAACTTAAACCAGTTGAACGCGAACAACAAAGCAACGAAGAGAAGGAGAAAATCGAAAAGATATTTCAAGCAAAATCTATAGGAAGACCATCGGGCGACTACCCTACAAAGCAAAATAAATACTGTGATATGTTGAATACAGGAAAAATCAAACAACCAAAGCAACAAACATTAGAGTTTTATAAAATTACAAAACATGATGATGGAGTATATGTATTATTTGAATAATTAATATCTAAGTAATTCTAATAATATGAATTTATTAGAATTATTTAGCGGAACAAAAAGCGTCGGAACCATAGCAAAGTCGCTTGGATTTAATGTGATATCATTAGACTTGAAAAATGCTGATATCAACACTGATATTTTGGAGTGGGATTACAAACAGTTTGACAGAAACCATTTTGATTTTATTTGGAGTAGTCCCCCATGCACTGAATACAGCATAGCAAAAACTAGGGGAATTAGGAATATCGAATATGCAAATAATATTGTCTTAAAAACTATTGAGATTATCAAATATTTCAATCCTAAATATTTTGTAATCGAAAATCCACAAACTGGATTATTAAAAAATCAGGAGTTTATGGATGAGTTTGATTTAAAGATGTAGATTATTGTAAATATGGAATGCCTTACAGAAAACGCACTAGGCTCTGGAATAACATTACAACTTGGAAACCTAGAGAATTATGTAAAAAGGATTGTGGCAACATCAGGAATAATAAACATATTGAAACCGCACAGAGACTGCCATCGGGCACCAAGGAAAATTGGGGAGACAATCCAACAATACATAAGCAGGAAGACCTATACAAAATACCTAGCGAATTAATTTGTGAAATCTTGGTGAGTTTGAATTAGGGGGGTTCATCACAACATCCACCAACATACATCCATCGTGGGAAAGGCGAAGCCTTGAAACGGGAAAGCACTCCATCAAAAAGAACCAACTCCCTACACACAAATCCGTCAAGAGGAAAACCAAAAGGGAAATGTCACTGTCATGACGGGGGCTTGTCAGTCACTGTCATGACGGGGCTTGTCACTGTCATGACGGGGGCTTGTCACTGTCATGACGGGGGCTTGTCACTGTCATGACGGGGGCTTGTCACTGTCATGACGGGGGCTTGTCACTGTCATGACGGATTTAAGTATAGCGTTTTATATATTGAAGATAAAATCATACAAGGAGGATGCGAGCGTTAGCGAAGCTCGCAAGCTATGTGACCACGCCTAAACAAATATATGATGAAGCTGATGAAACGAAGGAGGAGAGGTTTTTCACAACTTAAATATTTATGATTAAATCTTTAAACATGACTTAAAGGAATAAAGACTTAATACATTATAGTAAGAATGGAAGGCGTCTATGTTTTAACCGAAGATAAAATAAATAAATTAATAGAACGAAGGAAAACAGAGAGTGAAGAAGTAAAAAGGTTTATCCATATAAATCCTTATCCATCAGCAGAAGAAATGACCAAAGTAATTGAACAAATGAAACAAACAGGAATACCGGTTGAACTGATGATGAGACTATATCATCGTGAAATTCTAAACAACATGTATGCTGAACTCAATGATGAAAGTAAGGTTATAGAATATGGAATAGAACTAAACAAAATAGAAATAACTGGTCCTAACAACTCTGAGCAAATGAAATTTATTTTTATAAAAGCAAACGTTTTAATTCTTCAATCAATTATTAGATACAAGTATGAAACACATAAAAAGAAAAATAAACATATTGACAAAGAAACTATATTAGGATGGTCAAGCAAAATAGAACGGTGGTGGAATAAAGTAGGCATCAATACTATGAGCTGGAACACTTAAACCAAATCTTAATCATACTATGATTATCACATGTAAACTATTATATGTTATAATTGTAGTATATTTATCGTTTGTAAAGATTGAATTATTATAATTTGCTTATCTCTTTCAAAGTGCGTTGTTTAGACTTGGCATGCTTCTTCAATTTTTTCGTGCTTTGGCTGTTTGTTTTTGTTTTGTTTGATGCTCTTGTGATATTTTTTGTTGGTATGTTGCTTTGATTTTTGTTGATGTGTGCTTTTGAGTTTGGGTTCTTTGATGATTTAGAGTGTTGCTGTTTTGTTGGTATGCTTGATTGAATTATTTAATGTTGCATGCTGTGATTAAATATTTTTGTTACTGGTTGTGATTATTTATTTTGTTTGCTTGTTGTTCTGGATATTGTTTTCTGTTTGTTGTGTTGCTGTTGGAGAAAAAATAGTAGAAAGAATAACTCTTTGAATTCTCCTTTTACTATTTTTTCCCCCACCCCACCCCCCCCCACCCCACCCCCACCCCACCCCCACCCCACCCCCACCCCACCCCACCCCACCCCACCCCACCCCACCCCACCCCACCCCACCCCACCCCACCCCACCCCACCCCACCCCACCCCACCCCACCCCACCCCACCCCACCCCACCCCACCCCACCCCACCCCACCCCACCCCACCCCACCCCACCCCACCCCACCCCACCCCACCCCACCCCACCCCACCCCACCCCACCCCACCCCACCCCACCCCACCCCACCCCACCCCCCCACCCCACCCCCCCCCACCCCCACCCCCCCCCCCCCCCCCCCCCCCCCCCCCCCCCCCCCCCCCCCCCCCCCCCCCCCCCCCCCCCCCCCCCCCCCCCCCCCCCCCACCCCCACCCCCCCCCCACCCCCCCCCCACCCCCCCCCCCCCCCCCCCCCCCCCCCCCCCCCCCCCCCCCCCCCCCCCCCCCCCCCCCCCCCCCCCCCCCCCCCCCCCCCCCCCCCCCCCCCCCCCCCCCCCCCCCCCCCCCCCCCCCCCCCCCCCCCCCCCCACCCCACCACCCCACCCCCCCCCCCCCACACACACCACAACCCCACCCCCACCCACCACCCCACACACCCCACACCACCCCACACCACACCACACCCCCCACCCCACCCACCCCACCACCCACCCCACCCCACCCGCACCCACCCCACCCCACCCCACCCACCCACCCCACCCCACCCCACCCCACCCCACCCACCCACCACCCCACCCCACCCCACCCAGCACCCCACCCACCCCACCCCACCCCACCCCACACACCCCCACCCCCCACCCCACCCCACCCCACCCCACCCCACCTCCCACCCACCCCACCCCACCCCACCCAACCCACCCCACCCTCCCCACCCCACCCCACCCACACCCACCCCACCCCACCCCACCCCACCCCACCCCACCCACCCCACCCCACCCCACCCCACCCCACCCCCGGCCACAAGGTTGGATGGCCATGTAAGTTCAGCTCGGTCAAACATTACCCAAGAACAAAGGTTGCCATCGCTTCGGGCAAACCAGACTTCCCAGTGACAAAATCTGCACTTTAAGGAGGGGTCAAGTCGGACCAACCCCTCATTCCCAACCCTGGACCCCAAGAGCATTCAAGACAGTTGACAAATTAAACTGCCCTACCCTCCACATTCTGTTTGGGATCTTCTTCAGACAACTTGCCAGCCGAACAAAAGGAGTGTTGACAATGGGGCACCGAAGCGTGTGCAATGAAACTTCACCCACGTAGGCAAACAAGCCAATTGGATTCACTGGGCCACGGTTGGGCTAGCAAATGCCACCAAACGTTGCATGTTGGCAAGGCCATTTAAGGCATGGTTTGCTGGTGGGGTGCTAACTAAAAGGGATATGTGAGTCCTACTCAAGACCTGGTGGGGGGGCTGGGGTTACCCACGTGAAGAATCAAAAGGAATAATATATGTAATATCCAAACCGGGACTGTCCCTTGCTACCGTTCACAGTTTTAATTATATCTCTGAGGAACCTTGGTCCTTGTTCACCCCTTAGGATTTAGTCACATCTTGTCTACCATCATCATTTCAGCCAAGTGCGAAGATGTAAGAGTATACCAAGAGTTGACCCCATGCCAAATGGATCATCCGCCGGACCCTGAACTCCCCACTCCGCTCTCTTTTTTCTTGGCCTTCTCCATCTGAGCAGACTCGTGGCCGTCAACAGGCGCAGCCTCCATGTAGCGTTTCTTGTTCTTCTGTTTGTTTTCGCCGGGGGTTGGGCGTGTACTGCCTCCATATTGCTTTCTGATCGTGTGTTCACTTGGATTTAGGGGTCACTGCAGCAGGGATTCCCTTCACCGTGAGAGGCATTAAACAAAAAATCACTTGGGCACTGTGCACTGCTGGCGGCCTTACGGTCACAGAGGTGCAAATGAGCCAAAACGAAATTGTTTGGTACGGAGCAAACCGGGGTTGTTGCTGCCCATGAGCAAGACAACCGGGGCCTCCCACCACCAAGACAACTGTGAAGGCTACGTGGTTGTATATCCCAAACTCGCAAGTGGTGTCTCTTTATACACTGGCTGTAGGGATGTATATTCCATTGAGCCTCATTTTCTAGAAATCCAACAGGCTGAATTAGGGGACCCCCAAGTCAAGGACCTTTGGTGAGCTCATTCTACCCCCGAATCGGTGAGAGCTCGCTCATAAAATCGACCAAATATTGATGGGTAGTGGTTGGGTTCATGGAAACCCGCCGCTGACAGTTTCAGAACCATGGCTCCCGTCCGAAGAATTTCTTTGCCGAGATTGTTGAAGAAAAATCCCCCAGGCAAAGGGGTCAAGTAGGGAAACGGCGTTTTTCGCGGAGGGGTAATTGAGGGAAGCGGTTTCCCGGGTTTTGTTTAAGCCTACCTTGGACCAAGGGAAAGAACAAAACAAGACTCACAAGGTCCAAGGACCCTGGGTCTTAAGCTTGTTCCTGACCACTTAAATGCCCAAATTGGAAAAAACAATTGCGCCTGGAGCAAGGACAAGCAGCCCAACAAAAGGTTTCACCACTCCCAAAATCCAACATGTTCAGTTTTCCCAAAAGTCATATTTCTTACACGTCCTTTGTTTGAAAACTGCCCGCAATCAAATGCACAAAGGTAGTAGTACTTCAGAGCTACAATAAAGTCTTGATGCCTGCCCCTCCTCAACATCTCAAAAGAAAGTTTGGTTAGAGGGGTGTCCTTTACTAATCCCATGCCATTTCCCCCAACCTGACCATCCTTGGGGGCTTGCAGGTAGGATCCATTGTCCGTTTTAGGTCAGGCCTTAGACCCTTGCCATGGTTTGTCTGAAAGAAGTTTCTAACCTTCGACAGTCCAGAGCCCGGCCGACTCTCGGGCTCCGGGCAATCTTTGCACGCCCGTCACGACCGACCTCAAGCAAGGGACCGTTGTACGGCCAATGTTGGGTTTCTCAGAGTACACATGCCAGCACCCTCCGACTGCTTTCGTCTCATTTTCGTGACTACCGTCTATTTGGCACTAGCTCCGCAAATAAAACAAAAGAGAGTGGATCCCCGACCTACCGTTGTTTCCCAGGCAGTAAAAACAAGGCATATATCCCTACCCCTTCCGACAAGCAGGTGACACGCGGGTGACACGATGGGCATCCCGCAAATAAGAAGAAAGACAGTAGTTTTCGAACTACGGTCTTTTTCTGGAAAATTCTATCTACCGGCCACTGGGCAGTAGTCGGAGGGTGGTGGGTGTCTTTTTTTGAGGATACAGCTTTCTTTTTTTTTGTGGCGCTTCAAGCGAAATCAACGAGAACACCACGATCTTCGTGGGCCCCTCAAAACAAGACATACCCACATCCCAAAACCCCTGATTTCCCACGCGGCTTCGGTTTTTCAGTCAGCTGGTGGTGACCTGTTGACTGATCCAAATGTCATCCCTTAGCGGACCCAGAAGTCGGGTTCAGGCTACGGGTAGCAAGTGGGACCTGGGCTCTGGCAGGAAAGCGCACCGGATGAATTACCACTCTGTCTTGTTTTTTTTTTTCTATCTAGCACCGGTTGCAAACAACACTGGCTGTTTGTTTACTTTGCACCCAGTCAAGGAACTTTTAAAGACTGGTTTCCTGCTCGCCACTTTGACTGGCCCCTTGCGAAGCACCAAAGCAACCCGAATTTCGGCCAAGACTGGAGGGGACTTGTTTTTTTTTGGGGATCCATTTTGCAAGGGTGGCTGTGAAAGGGGACTCCTGCACGGGATACTGAGTTCTGGTCCATTGACGCCAGCTTGTGCGGCGAGCCTCTGAAGACGAGGGGTGCGCGACCTTCTAGTTGGACAATGGCATACTGCTTAGTTGACGTTGGAAGGGGAGCAAGCATTTATGTTTTAGCAGTTAAGTGGGGATTTCCCACTAAACCGCAAATAAGCAAAAATGCACAATGTCTCCCAACAACAACCATGACTGCATACTTACCTCACTTCCGATCCATTGGATCGACGAAAAAAAAGGCCACCGTTGTCCCTTTTGTGTCGCTTGGAGGCCCACAGCCGGCCCTCGGCCGGCTTGAAACAAGGTTGTGGGTTTGCGAAAGTGTGCTGCTCAGTCGAATGATGTTCAAGCCAAGATTTGCAGCACCTTGCTTGTCGCCCGGTTGCAACAAAAGTTTACAGGTGACCCAACTGCAGTTCCACCGTTCCACCATCCGGTGTCAGAGGGAAATGAACAACAGAATAGCTATGAAGCGGGGGTTGGAGGATGCTGATCATCAAAGCAACAATTCAGGGAACACCAGGAAACCTGTCTCTCACTCGCGCAAAGGACCTGGATACAAAAGGATCATCTTTTGGAACCTTGCTTAAACCTGGGCCACATGAGGGAAACCAAAAGATTAAAATCTCAAGGCCGATTTGCTTTGGGCAAGTGAGTTCTGCAAGCCCACAGGCAGACCGCAGGTAACTGGACTCTTCTTTGGCCATTGTCGAACGGCCAAGAGTTCAAACTTTAGGGCTTTGACTAATGAACTAACATGAAGACATCTGCCAACAAAAGAGGAAGACACCCTGCGAAACAACTGGGCTGTCCTCAGATCCCCTACCAAAATGGAACCCCAACCACTAAACCAACTAAGAACCTAAGGAAACAAATGGCTGGGAATCACCGCGAGAAAGTTAGGTTTGCTAACTCGACAAACATGTTTTACAGGCAAACGAGGAACATGGGTGGAGTTGGCATTGCAACACAACTCGTGGATCGTCGCCAATGGCAAAGGGGGCCCCAAAGTGACCAGGGAAACTTGGGGTGCTGTTTGACAGGGTAAGTGAAGATTTTCATAGGCTAATTTTGAGGATGCCGCTTCGATGCATCAAGTTTCAAAGGTTGTTGGATGCTTTTCAGTCGTTCCCCACGAAGCGCGGGCCTCAGGGTGCCGGGGAGCCGCTCTCCGCGTAAGCTCAGGCCTGAGTGAAATGCCGCGAAATCTGAACACCTCCTTTGACATCGTGCATGTTCAGATTGACCACTTGACTCCCTGGAAGTGAGCACAGAACCCTTGGGGGGTCAAGAAGAATTCACAATATTCGTTTGGGTTCCTTCCATCGCAATGTAAAACGGCCATCTTCCAACTCTTCTCACATAACACAAATGGTTCCAACTTCCAACTCTTCTCACCCAACGGGCGCAGACATCATGAAATGTTCACGGCGATCACCTTTTGGGGCCACTAAACCAAAGGGAACCCAAAAAGGGGAACCCCAAAATGGGGGAAACCCAAACGGGTGAAGCCAAAATGGGGGAAACCAGTGGTCACAAAAGGGGAATCCAGTCCCTGGTCAGATCCCTGGGCCACTTCGCTTTTGCAACCTGAGTTGAGCGCCAACCCTCGAAGCCAAGGCCCCGGCATTCTCGAAGTTTTCCACACGGGCCATGGGCTCAACATGGCCATGCCCCGAACCAGCAAGCGCTGCCCGATGGAGGGGGCTTCTCTTTTGGTTGACGGTGGCTTCGGGGTTCTCCTCTTCCCCCAAAAAAACAAACCAGTGTCCCCCTTTAAACCAGCGTACCCAGATTTCACCTTCTAATATACGCCCCAGAAAAAGGGAACTTCTAACTTGACCCACCAGGGAACTGATCCAATCTTTACTAGGTCCTCCTGCAGAGAGGTTAGAAAAAGAGTACTCTTTTTTCTGTAGTCTATTTTAGTAGGGAAACCCTCCCCCAAAAAAGGGGTGATAAAGGGCACTACTGGGGGACCTAGTTAAACCAAAAGAAGAGTCAGACATATAGGGAGCTTCTTAATCGAGCTGCAACTGAGGGGCTTGAGCCAGCCTAGCTACGTCCAAGCCCACGCGTGTGTGACTTTCCAGCACCCTCCAAACTACCTGCTTTTCGGTTGCCGTACCAAGGGGATTTTGGACAGGGAAGCAGCAGTTGTCAGGGGAAATCTGGTATTCTGTTTTCGGTTTGCCCCTGCGTAGATGAAATTACACACACATGGGCTGCTTAGCTTCCAGCTCCTCAAGGATGCAGCAACGCATGTTGAAGAACTACTGTCATGACTGTTGCCATGCAATCCTTCTAGAGGTTGGATTCCTTGTCCATTCTTTTCAACCATCGTTCTTTCCAAAAACCGGATCCGTTTTCTCGATCGGGATTCCGGAGGTTTGCTAGAAAGAAGAATCTCTGGAAAGAATGGTTGGAAGGTAGCCCTGGGCTCCTGGACGTGTATCGTGTATTGCCTGGAGCATTCCAATGAAACTAGATCCAGCCGGGGAAAACAAACCGATTCATTCTGTCGGTAGGAGAAGGGCCTGGAGGTCCTTGGCCCACTTTCTCGATCTAACTCGCCTCTATCGGCAGTTTGTGCCTGGATCCTACGTGCCTAGAGCATCTACAGGCGGAAAACAAAGATGGCTCCCGTCAGCTGCTGACTTTGCCTCGGATGTGCGGCTGGACTCACAACTTGCCCCCCTGATATCACTTAGCCATTGCCAAAACAAGGCCTAGAGAGTCAGAGACCAAACCTAGACACTGCAAACATTGTTGAGCCCTAACCTGCCCATTGCTCGGACTACCCGACAGCTCCTCCTGACCTTCATTCTGCACCGGCACTTTGTCCCATCTCAGACGGTTTCAGTTTCCAAAACCGCTAGTGCGAACCCTCGCTGGGTATAGACCTTGGACCAGGTGCTATAGGTATCTGTGTCTCCTTTCAAGGGACCCAATTGGCGCCACGGCTTTCCCCAAGCTTTCCGAGCCTCAAAAAAGCCCAGCCGCCCCATCAACGCACGTTAATCCCAAACCCATGGGTCCCGGGTGTCTTGCAGGCTAGTGGCATGCTGAAGCGTTCCCCGCTTCTCTCACGCGTTTTGGTGTCCCCGGTAGAAAGGTGGGAAGTTTCTTCTGTCGACCCAGTGAGTAACCTGGTAGATCATGAGCGGGGGGGTTTTTCCTAAGTGAAGGATCCTCATCCAAGATTCCAAAATCGGGTCCGGGGGTTCGCTAATCCTGGGTTCTCATGAGATGGGTTTGGTGTCGGATTGTTCTGATGATGCCGTTCTAGTATTCTACGCGAATTCCAACCATCTCCGAAAGAGCCACGGGGCAAAGGTTCTTGCGAGCTTTCTGCTAGAACACCAACCTGCAAAACTGACAAGGGCCCAACAGAAAACGATACCGACGAAATCATGTTGCGAAACCGGATGGAATAATTATGTTTTCAAGGGAAACTGACGAGCCACTTATGACAGGACTGCTGAAAGAATTGGAAAGAATATGCCCAAACCACCTGCTTCACGTCGAACATCCTCTGAATCAGCCGGTCCAAATGTCCCTCCAGAGCATCAATCATTGGACCCTCCTTTGGAGGGTTAGGCATTGAAAGGTTTTGGGAATCAACACGGCCCCATGATGCGCAGGCTGTTGACATTACCCTCCGGTCCACTTTTGCTGGAACCTACCAACATGTTCCCTTTACGGGAACTTGTTTTTCGGGATCCAATCAATTTCATGTTAGTGGATGGCATCGGAGGGTAATGTTAACCCCGAATTAGTCAACCCCAGTTTATTCATAGGGGGGCGTCCCTTGGTTTAGTGGCGATTCATCACTTTTGGAAAAAAACACCCCCTAATAACACTATGGATGGACGAAATCCTGCACCACTTTGAAACCACCGGAGACCATTGTTGGTTGGTATGTACAGGGAATCGTCATTGCAGGGTTTATGCTTCCTTTTTCGGGGGTGCATGACTCGACACTTTTTTTTTCAGCGGCGGCGGGAGCAATTCCCTGCCCTGAAGAAAATCTGATCGGCCAGGCCACGCAAGTTGCGATCACGAATGGCGAGCACCTGCCATTCGGAAAGCACGCGCCTTCCCATGGGTGCCATGCCCCAAGCCGAACCAACCTATGATACCTATACATGTGTATATATATATATATGTTTTTTATACATACTACATGTATATATTTATATATATATACATAGATTATGATGTATGCATATCAAGGGTGTAGGTATGAATGTGAGGCTTGCAAGGAGCATGAAGTTCTTTCCCTTCAGTCAGTCAGGAAAGAGGTGATTTGAATTGCTGGCTACATCCGCTACTGCTCTTGAGGCAATGGGGTTTCCAACCCCTAAACTCTCATCTACAAACAAATCATGCAAAGGACCAGCATCATGGTAAGCCCGTTTCCGCCCGAATCGGTGAGCTTGTTACAAAGCAGGCAGAAACATCGGAGAGCTGCCTGCGGCAAAGGCCCCGTGCCCCAAACACATCCAATGTTTTCCACGGATGGAGCAGCCAAGTCACCTGGATTCAGTGGGATAAAACCACAAGGAGCAGCCCCACATTTTCGGTGACAATATTTCAGGACTTGGAGGGTGCTTTCCTTGTCCTGGCCACTGGCTATGCTTGGCTAAACCATGGTACAGCCTGACCTCGGCCCAACTCTGGACTCAGATTCTGCTTCATACGGTGGATGGTTGCGAAATCCTAGGCACCACCCTAAGGGAAACCCTGGAATGAATCGGTTCGCCTGTAAATACCGGCGAAAGAAGGGTTTCAACCATGGTCTCAAAGTGGTGCGAAATGGATTCCGTCCATCCACAGTATTCAGTCTTCACTCATGGCACAAGAGGGGGCCCATGACACAGGCCCCGGGGGTCATTGGGAACTGAGCCCCAGAAAAAGACACACCAACTAGTTTAGACACCCTGTTTGGTTTCCCACTTGTTCAGTGACCCCCCCCAAAAAAGAATCGTTCACCCTTTTTGGGGAAGACCATTGTGGGGCAGCCCTCCCCCCCCAAAGGAAAAGAGGGAACAAGGATGGGTGCCAGCGAACCATCTGCTCGGTTTGAATTGGGTTGACCCGCCCAGACCCGTTTCCGCGGCCCCTCCGCCTTGGTCTCGCCCCCGAGTTGGAGCTGGACCCGGTGCCTCACCCGTTTTTTTTCTCACTTGGGATGCGCGCGAAGCGAAAAAAATCGGGGACCCTTTGGTGGATCCCTCCAAAAGCACCCCTTGAGGAAGCATAATATGTTGACCCCGAATTTGAGAATAAGCCCATTCTACTTTTTTTTTGGTCCACCAACCACTTGTGAGGTGTGGTTTCAGCACACATATCGCCAAATCAACAATGGAAGTCAGGGTCTGGTTGCCGCCCGTCCAGAAGCTGCAGTGAAATGCCAATGCTTGGAGGGTCGCAACTAGATCCCGCACCTTTTCGGAGCTTATGTTCAAGGGACATCCTCGACAAATGAAAAGGAAACAAGGTAGTGGGTGCCCCTCTGTCAGCGAGCCGGAATTTTGTTGCGGGCTCAACACCGAGTTGTTCAGTGACCCGCAACCTGCAAAAAAAAAGAACCCTTGTCTTCCGTTTGCTTCAGACCCCTGCAAAAAATAAGCATACTTGGGATCGGCCCAATTGCCCCTTTACACAAAGTCAACCGCTTTGCTGTTTGACGGAAAAATATATGCTTCCCGCCAAGTTGAAGTCCGCGATAGAACAAGAGTCGTAGGCCTTTTTGGGGTTGACCCAAATCCCACCTTAAGCCAATCATACACCGCCATCTAACCACGTCGTCCACCTTGCCGGTGGCTCCTCCCTTCAAGGCTTCTGAGCGCCCGGCTTGACATCGCCCTCAGCGGCTGTCCTGGGCAGTCTTGCAACTTTGGGTGACTCGTCTTTTCTCGGGTGCCCGTTTTGGGAGGTTGGCTTTGAGCCATTTCGCCTGTTTTGCAAGTCCCTTTTGTTGGTGATAACCAGGGCGAACTAGCCACTTACTAAGCGGTCCCCCTCGAACGGTTTCTTACAGGGTGTCCGTCTGTCCAAAACGAGGCTCGATCCCGGACATCACCGACTGGCCCCCCCGCTGTTTTCGTGGACCCCTTCACACCAAATGCCACCAGTCCAAAACCACGGCACGCTGCAAGAAAGGGCGCTGTCCTCAGATCCCCTAAAAGTTTGCCTGGTGAGTTCTGGGACCCGCAAAACCCTAAAAGCATAAGGAACCGGATGGCTGGGGTTCCCATCAACTCGCTAAAAACAAACGTCCTCATCTCATTCGCTCAAAGGCCCGGAATAACAGGCAACTCGACCAAAAAACAAGAAGCCATGGAGACCAAGTCAGCTTCCCACTAATTGGTTTGGTTGGTGGTTTCCCATTCACCCTGGGTTCAAATCCAAACCCCAACCAATTCAGGGTTGCCAGGACAGGTGGGCTTCGGGCAAAGTGAATCACCAAACGCCCCTTGGGCACCACTGAAGCCCACATACCGCAATAACCAAGGCAATGTTGGGCTCCCCCGGCACTGTGCCAATGATGCGGCCTTCCAGTCCGTTGTATTCCTGGACGCGGAAGCCAAAGGGAGCCAGCCTCAGGGGTAACTCATGGGTAACTCCCCTACAAATTAAGGGAAGGAATCTAACAGGGGAGTCCGC